GACCTGGACTGAAGTCAGACGCTTAACCGACTGAACCACCCAGGCGCCCTGAGAGTATCCTTATTAAGAGATACACACTAAACTATTTAGAGATGAAAGGTCGTGAAGTCTGCATTTTACTTTAAAATGGCTTAGCTTTAAAATAAAAGTCTACACTGGGGCGCCTGGGTGGCTCAGTCAGTAAGCGTCCAACTTCAGCTCAGGTCATGATCTCGTGGTTTGTGGGTTCGAGCCCCGCGTCGGGCTCTATGCTGACAGCTCGGAGCCTGGAGCTTGCTTCAGATTCTGTGTCTCCCTCTCTTCTGCCCCTCCCCCACTTGTGCTCTCTGTCTCTCAAAAATGAATAAACGTAAAAAAAAAATTAAAAAAAAAATAAAAGTCTACACAGATAAATATGTCAAAATATTAACTAGGGACTCTGTGAAGGGCACAGGAGTGTTTATTATACTAATCTTTCAACTTTTCTGTAGATTTAAAAATCTTCAAAATAGAAGATTTGGGTGGAGTTAAATAATGACAGGACAACTGAATATCCATATGGAAAAGAACTGTGACCCCCACTTTATACCATTAATAAAAATTAGAGATGGATTATAAAGCTCAATATTAAAGCTAAAACTAAAGCTTTGAAGAAAAGGAATACCTTTATGACCTGCAGATAGGCAAAGATTTCCTATACAAGAAAAAAATGACAGAAAGCCATAAGCATAAAGGAAAAAATTTAATCCTTAGACTTCACCAAAATACAAAACCACTCATCAAAGACACCGTTAGGAAAATAAATAAGGTAGACACAGACTAGGAGAATATATTTGCAAAAATATATCAGATCTTTGGTCAGAAAAAACTCCCACTCAGAATATATAAAGAAATCTTACAACTCAATAAAGCAAAAAGTGGGCCAAAGAATAGATGATTCATAAAGGAAGATAATGTGCATAACCAATAAGCCCACGAAAAAGTGCTCAAATCAATGGAGAATGCAAATGAAAACCACAATGAGATATCACCACACATCCATCAAAATGGCTAAAATCAAAAAAGACTGACACAACCAAATTGTGAGGTTGTGGAACAGCTGTGATACACCTGCTGGGGGAATATAAAATGGTACAATCTTTGGGGAAAGTTTTGACTTTCCTATAACCACCTATCCTTTAACCTAGAAATTTCACTCCTCTGTACTTATCCAAGAAAATGAAAATAAATTCTACAAAAACATGATGCACACATATTCATAGCAGCATTATTTATAATAGTCCAAAACTGGAAATGCCCCAAGTGTCCATCAATAGGATGACTATAAACAAATTGTGGAATGTTCATACAAAACAATACTACTCAGCAATATGAAAATGGAAAAACCGATGTACTCAACAAAAGAACCTAGGGGCGCCTGGCTGGCTGAATTGAAAGAGCATGGGAGTCTTAATTACAGGGTTGTGAGTTTGAGCCCCATGTTGGGTGTAGAGATTACTAAAAAAATAAATAATTTTAAAAAATATTTTGAGAGAGAGCAAGCAGGGGAGGGGCAGAGAGAGAGAGAGAGGGAAAATCACAAGCAGGCTCTGCACTGTGCCTGACACGGGGCTCGAACTCACAAACCGTGAGATCATGCCCTGAGCCGAAAATCAAGAGTCAGACACTTAACTGGCAAAAAAACAAAAACAAAAACAAAAACCTAGATACAGGGGCACCTGGGTGGCTCAGTCGGTTAAGTGTCCAACTTCAGCTCAGGTCATGATCTCGCAGTTTGTGAGTTCAGGCCCCACACTGGTTTCACTGCTGTCAGCCTGTCAGCGCAGAGCCGGCTTTGGATCCTCTGTCCCGTCTCTCTGCCCGCCCCCCCCCCCAAAAAAAACACACACAAAAACAAAACCTAGATGCAAAAAGTACATACTGTATGATCCATTTATGTGAAGTTCTAGAACAGTCGGAACTATGGTGAAGAAAAAATGAGAACAGTGGTTTCTTCGGGCGTTGGGGAGTGGGGATTTTCTAGGGAATTTTGTGAGGTGATGGATATGTACTGTATCTTGACAGGGGTGTGGGTTACATAGGTGCATCCACTTATCACAAAATGTACAGTTTATTGCATTTGAATGAATGCAAATTTGCTTTTGAAAGATCAAATGGAGCAGTGAAGGGACGCCTGGGTGGCTCATTTGCTTAAGCATCTGACTTCCGGCTCTGGTTATGATCTCTTGGCTCTCATGGATTCAAGCCTCCCAGTCGGGCTCTGTGCTGACAGCACAGACAGAGCCTGAAGCCTGCTTCTGATTCTGTGACTCCCTCTCTCTTTGCACTTCCCCTGCTCACACTTTATCCCTCGCTCCCCAAAATAAATAAGCAGCAACAACAACAAATGGAGAAGTGAAGAGCAGGTACACATGAAAATGGCAGTTGGTGAAACCAGGTGATGGGTACAGGAGGGTTCACAATGCTATTTTAACTTTGCACAAGTTTTCAATTCTCCATAGTTAAAAGATGGGGCAGTGGTCCCAGAGCCAGAGAAATTGGGGTTGGAATCTTACTCTCATCCCATTCTAGCTGCAAGGTAACAGCCACAAACCTCTATAGCCAACATCCGTAAATGAGCAATAAGGCCAATAATCACATTTCAGGACAAGTAAGGATTAGGACTCCTGTGCTTTGGTAGAGAAAGCCACTTAACCAATTAAATCAGTGTGGAGAAGGGCAGGTTCCAGAACAGCAGAAAACTGGTTGAATGGCAAAGGTGGAGTCAGACTCAGGAAGGTCTTGAATGGCAGGATTAGTAACCCTAACCCAACAGGCAGTTGGAATCCACTAGATGCTATTATATCTTAACCCGAAGTTCAGAGTTCATATTGTAACTATTTTCAAATATTGCAAGAGAAATAGATGATAAAAAGATAATTTATCATCCATGCTAAGATTATCAGTCCAAATCTACAACCACAAGGAGACAATGAATTGAATAGACTAAATGAAGACAGGGTGCCACAGCTCTTCAGTGGGGACCAGGTGAGGGTTAACGTTGTAAATCATTGACCAGACAGTCCTGTAGGTCCAAACTGGACCAGAGGATGGCAATATAAACATACAATGGAAAAGGCACGCAGTATGGTAAGAATCAGTAGAATTTGGTAGCATGATAGGAAGAAAAGCTTATCAGGAAGACTATGTTAGGAAAACTAGACTGTAGACTTTGCCTTATTAACTTCTACTCATTCTCAAATCTTCACAATCATTTCCTTGGGGAAGCCCTTGACCGCCTTGCTCTCCCTAAGTTTAGATCTGATTCTTTTATTATACATTCACAGGACCCCATTTTGTTACTTTGGAGAAGGAGACAAATTACTGGCAGCCTAATCAAGGGACAAAGAAAACCCAAATGCATAGCTTTTAGAATAAGTGATAGAACAACAGATGAAATAAATTTCAAATATGTTAGATTACTATATAAAACTCTAACCAAGTATATTAGGACATTTAAGCTAAACGGGCAGTTTTCTAGAACAATTAAAAGGCCAAACATTGATTCAAAAAGAAGAAAATCTTAATAGTGTACTAACCATGAGTTTACGAGAGTTCATCATACTGTCTACTTTTTTGTATGTTTTGATTTTTAAAATAAAATGTTTAAAAACATGCTTTCAAAAAGTAATGCTTTCCCCTCTCTGGCCATGACTACATTTGCTCAGCACCTGTCTCATACGTAAACCGGCCGATAGCGTGTGCACTCCACTAACTTGACAGCAGCTGTCTAGCAAGTAAATCAAATGACACACAGGAAATGTCCAACACCAAGAGAGGTCCCATATTCACCCAACCAGAGTCCAAGTTAAGCGACCAAGTAAGTAAGGGACCGAGAAAGCAATTTTCCCTCACGCAGAGCCCAACGCGCCTGCGCAGGGTAGAGACTGCTCCGCCCACACCTCGGGGACGGAAGCACTGGAGCCCCGAACCACGTGGTCGCGAGCGGAGGTGGGCGGGGCGCGCGGGACGTGCTGCCGCGTCGTCACCAGCTGAATGGGCGGCGGCGGAGCATGTGTGTGTGTGGCTGAGGCTGCTGCTCGCCAGGGACGCGGAGAGTGCATGCCTCTCCCGGGTCGGACCGTGAAGCCGGCGAGGACGTGGAGACAGCGGAGGAGGGGAAGAGCAGCCGGAGACAGACTGGCATCCCTCTCGGGAGCTTAAGGGCCCCGGCTCGGCCGGGGTTATGGCATCGCTTGCGGACCGAATGCGAGGCAACGGGCGCATCGCCGCTGGGCTCCTGCTTAACCTGCTGGTGTCCATCTGCATCGTGTTCCTAAACAAATGGATCTATGTGCACCACGGCTTCCCTAACATGAGCCTGACCCTGGTGCACTTCGTGGTCACCTGGCTGGGCTTGTACATCTGTCAGAAACTGGACATCTTTGCCCCCAAGAGTCTGCCGCCTTCCAAACTCCTCCTCCTGGCCCTCAGCTTCTGTGGCTTCGTGGTCTTCACCAATCTCTCTCTGCAGAACAACACCATAGGCACCTATCAGCTGGCCAAGGCCATGACGACGCCGGTCATCATAGTCATCCAGACCCTGTGCTACAAGAAAACCTTCTCTACCAAAATACAGCTCACGCTGGTGAGTAGCTTTAGCTTCGCAAGGCGCACCTCTAGCAACCTACCTCCTGGATCGTCTTTCTCCCCGGGAAATTTGAATGTTTAGCCTTGCGCCAAGCTCTTTCCAGTCATCTTGAAATGCACAGATGAGTCGTCTGTGAGTTTGTGAACTTCAGGCTTATTTGGGAGAGGTGAAAAAAGTCATCTTGGCACTCTGTTGGGCTCTTAGCCCAGAACAGTGTGCTTGTGTGAGCTTTAGTAACTGCTGTTTGATGGAAATCCTTAAATGCTGTGATTGGTAAGAAAAGAACGCTGCATTACATTATGCAATTCAGTGTATTGGAATATCTGCAAAATCGCAAACTGAAAAACGGCCCTCCTTCGACCCAGGGGATTCAAACCATGTATGAATTAACGTTAAGGGTTCAGCATAAAACATGTCTCCGAATATGTCTGCAGCGAGATACTGCAGAGGTTTCTGTGTCTTTAAATAAGAGAAGATACTTTTAGCACTTAATGACTTACAGTGTTTAAATTCTTAATGCTTTTGCTATACGTTCATGCTTATATTTTGTTTAGACGCTAGTTTTGGGGGTCTGTTTACTCCTATGTGCATGCACGTTGTATGCCTTTGTTGCAATTTGCAATGTATTGATTCATTTTACCCGGAATTTTAAATAGAATTAAATAGGAACATACATATAGAATTCACATATTTCACTTTGAGGAAATCGGTTTAACTGTTTTTTTCAGATGGAAAAAAAATTATAGAGGTTGTTTCCCAGTGATGCTTTTGTGATTAACTTTGTAAGACAACATGAAAGGAATACTAAATTTGTGTCTCATGAATTTAATCTGAACATGTACCTCTTTTTCTTTACAGATTCCTATAACTTTAGGTGTAATCCTAAATTCTTATTACGATGTGAAGTTTAATTTCCTTGGAATGGTGTTTGCTGCTCTTGGTGTTTTAGTTACATCCCTTTATCAAGTGGTTGGTAATTTTTTTTTTCTTTATGTGCCTTTTTAGCAGATTTCATAAATTTTGAAGCTGTATCCCAAGGTTTAGAAAATACAGTATAGAGACAATAGACTGTTGGGAAGAAAGCCTAATTGCATAAATTGGCTCAAGGTGAAGAGAAGAAAGGAGACAGAGAAACTTGGGTGTGATGCTCACCAAATACCTACCTACCTGGTGTAAGTGTATAATACCCATGCTTGACAGTCTGAGTTTGGGGTGATGCTATACTATCATCTGGGAAATCTTTACAAAATGAGTAGGAAGACTTTGTTCTTGAGACCGAGATCATTGGTTAAATTTATGATTGACTCTTTAATTATTAAGATTACTGTGAAGGAATGAGTGCGTTTCCGAAATTTGAGCAGGAGAGGAAAATTTCAGATTTATGAATCTTTGTCTCAGAACATACGCTGCTGTTACAACTTGTATATCAGCTTCCAATAATTTGTCTCTCTCAGTATTTTATAGCAATGGGTATTTCACTTCTTGTACTATAGCAGCACAGTGCATTGCCTTTAGCAGGCGTTCATTAAAAATTTGTGCATGGATTCACTTACTTCATTACCATAAAGTCTCAACAAGTATGTTTTTTGTTTCTTGTACAGTGGGGAAAAATAACTTGGTGTAGGGCTCAGTGAAACAGTATTTTCTCTATACTGGAAACCTTGGCCTGGAGATTCTGGGTGAGCCTGCATGGGGAGTCAGAGCCAAAATGTGTAACCGGTTTTACCTTTTTCACATATGTCTGCTGGTTATAAACTAAGGCATTTCTTGTTATGAATGTTGGAAGTTTACTAACACAGCCTTAGCATATGAAGCTTTCTAGTACTGATCATTTCAGAAATACTGTTATGTGAAAATTCTGGGGTTGAGGACATTTGTAAGTGGCAAGAAGGGGTGTTAACAAGAGACCAGTGGCACGAAAGGAAAGAGCACCCACTCAGTGCTGTCACTGGTCGCCAGGATACTGTGTCTTTCACTACAGAGAGTAATCAGAGGAAGTTCGGCTTTGTGCTCTAAGAAGGTTGTATTTAGGTATACTTCAGTGAGTTTAAATTTTGTTACTAGAAACAGTGAACATTCCTATTCATCCTTTTTGTTAAACTGATTTTGTTTGGCCCAGGAAGGATTAAATGTTTATTAAATATAGCAAGGAATTTTATTTATCGAACATCAGAATTTCTTACATTCCTTGTATGTAATTTCAGTTCAGAGTATTAAGTGTCCCTGCCAATATGACCATTTTTGTTCCCACAAGTCTCAAAATTGCTACAGATTAGAACCAAAGGATTCTGTATCCCTCAGGCACATATTTGAAATGGGATTGACCAAGGAATGATTGTTCACAGACTAATAGGCAGCGTTTTCTATTATTAGTAAACAGTACATGTACTGTTAAGGAATAGGTATATTCCCCCAGAAATTCATTTTAAAGAAAGTTGTCGTTTCCCATTGTATCCAGGTGTAATCTCTAAGCTATTTCTGCCTTTACTGCTAGGGCATTGGAGTTAAAAGGGGCATAGGAGTTAAAAGATGAGTGATTGGGGGGCGCCTGGGTGGCGCAGTCAGTTAAGCGTCCGACTTCAGCCAGGTCACGATCTCGTGGTCCGGGAGTTTGAGCCCTGAGTCGGGCTCTGGGCTGACGGCTCAGAGCCTGGAGCCTGTTTCCGATTCTGTGTCTCCCTCTCTCTCTGCCCCTCCCCCGTTCATGCTCTGTCTCTCTCTGTCCCCAAAATAAATAAAAAACGTTGAAAAAAAATTTTTTTAAAAAAAGATGAGTGATTGGGTATTAGCTTTAGTTGCGGAAAGGCTCACTTATTCAGCAGACATTTCTTTTGCTTGTTGCTCGAAGATAACAAAGATGAAAAACAGCTGTAATGCAGCATGGTAGAAACACATGTAGACAGCTGATTGCAAGTAGGATAGCTCAGGATGTGAGGAAGGTTCTGAGGAACACCAGAGAGGAAGTGGCTGTTCTTCAAGGGGGTGGTGAGGTAAGACTTTATGGACAAGTTAACGATTGAAATGGAAGGGCCCACAGGAATCTGCCGAGCAGAGAAATACAGCAGAGGTCTTTCTTTGCAGTGATGTGTGAAAGTACAGAGCATTTTTGGAGAACTTGATTTATTTGGTGAGACTCTTGTTGCGTTGTGGAAGGACAAGGTCTAGGGGCGGATGAGACCAGATGGCACAGTTTTGAATTTCATGCGCTTTATCCTGCAGGGGCCAGGAAAGGGGCTTAGATAGGGGAGTGACTTGATCGTCCCCTGTGCTTGAGAAAATTAACTCTGGTGGCAGTGAAGGGTGAGTAGGAGAGGGACAAAGGGTGAAGGCAGAGCAATTAGGAAGCTGTTCGTGGCTCAGGAGGAAGACAGGAAGGCGCTGAACAGACAGTGGTAGTTGATAGAGACCCCAGAAGCCTTTTGGAGAAGGAATCAGCAGGACCTGACCGAATGTGGAATGACGAAAGTAAGGAGTCTCATCCTTGGGGGAGATTATGTCTTTAATTATGGGAGCAACACAGGAGGAGCTAATTTGGGGAAGTGAGTACTGAGCTGCTTTGAAAATGGTCCCTGCAGATTGTGTGAGTTAAGGCGTCCGGCAAGCTGTGGAAGTTTGAGCACGCCCTGAGAAGGAGGTCAGAACTGGAGAGGTCTTCGGGTGTCAGTGACGTCAGTCAGGGAGATAAAAGAGAAAAAAGGCCAGACATCTACCTTAAAAATAGTAAATGGAGGAAGAGGTAAGTGAGTGCAAACCAGAAGTCAAGTTCTTCCACGAGAAACCTGTCAGGTCTGTTGAGAGCCCCCACAGGAAGAAGGCAGAGGGGTGGCCATTGGGTGTGGCTGTTGGAGGTGACGGTGCCCTTTGGGAGAGCAGTTTCATTCACGGTGGGCAGAAGCCAGGGTGCACTGCAGTGAGGGAAAGTGGAGGCCCTGAGAGTTGCCACCCTTCCAGGCGGTTCAATGCCAGAGACATGCAGCCGCCTCGTGAGGTTGCTAAAAGAACCGAGGAGCGGGCATCCATGCTCTGCACTCATTTTTGCTCTCTGCAGCACCCCCGGGAGCGGGCAGCAGAAGAATCGATTCTTTGTCCTTCATATTCACAGAAGACTCTTAGTTGAGGCTGGCAGGGGTATGTTTCAAATTTCCTGCTCTTCTATTTTTGTCTTGGTGAATTTCTATAGACTTCGCGTTTGTGTAACAGGATACCCAGATCTACAGGAAAAAGAATTATGTAGGAGTAGTTATTCAAAAGCCTGGCTGTTCTCTGCCAGATCTTATTCAAACGGTTTTGTCAAGCTTTCTTGAAAGTCTCCTTTTTATTCATATTTGTGCAACATTTTGAGGGCTGATGGGATCTGAGGTTTCGAGGTGTTGGTTCTCCTGAATGATGTAGTCTTTGAAAAGGGTTTGTGACTATCTAATTTCTTCCAGTGCATCAGTGCGAGATTAGCCACAGAAAAATCAGTCATCAAGAGGAAAATTCCTTCTGCCATTGATTGGGTTTTCTAAAGTGGATGAAAAGACCTCACATACTTTTCTAGCCACACACACTGGCAGCCACCTGGGACAGCTGAGGTTTCTGTCAATCCCTAGTTAGTCTGCCCTGCCCACCCCCCATCTTCTCTTGCCTGGGGTTGGGGGGGGGCAGTTTTAGAAAGAAATGAAGTCTAGCACTGTATTTCCGGTTCCTGCTTATCACCTAAATCTCCATTCCCGCCTCTTTCCCAAGATCTCTGATACTCCTGGGCCCCTGTGTGCATTCATTGATTCCCCCCATTTACTAGGGCCAGCAGGGAAGAGAGGACTCTTTTTTCTCTCTCTTCAAAGCTGAGAAGAAAACAGATTGTCACATATTGAATTTGTAAAGCTCCTTTCATCCAAGGTGCTTAAAGGACATTCGTATATATTATTGATCTTTGGCATCAAGTAGAATAATCAGGGGTTTCCTCTTCCCCGAGCACCCCCCCCCCAACCCGCCCCGCCAGGTACCCATCCTTGTGACTAGAGTTGCATCATTTGTTTACTAAGTGATGCTATTTTTTTCTATCTAACTTGTTTTGTCTCCTAATTTTCAGTGGGTAGGAGCCAAACAGCATGAATTGCAAGTGAACTCAATGCAGCTGTTGTACTACCAGGCTCCGATGTCCTCCGCCATGTTACTGGTGGCCGTGCCCTTCTTTGAGCCTGTGTTTGGAGAAGGGGGAATATTTGGCCCCTGGTCAGTTTCTGCTTTGGTAAGTTTTAATTGTTATGGTGCCTAAGAACCAAGATAATCCTCCCTTTGCTATTAAGTGTGATTTTTAGTTTTCAGAGCATGATCTCAGATCCGTTCTCACATTTATCTGTATAATCACCCTTTAAGGGAAGCAAGCTAAGGATTATTTTTTAGATGAAGAAACCAAGGCACTGTGTGTGTGTGTGTTCATATACACGGTTATCATGGATTCCTTCTCGCCAGCCCTCCTCCCCGTACACATTCCACACTTCATTCCTGGTCCCTGCCCCTTGAGGTGAGTCAGGTTAACATTCTAGTGTGTGTTCTTCCGTATTTTTCTTCGTGTTGTACATACCCATGTAAACACAATACACACACACCTGTATAAACATAAATTACACATTTGTTTCTTTTACAAAAGTGGGATCATAACATAAATAATTTCCTGCATCTTGCTTTTTCACTTAATATCTCATGCAAATCTCTCCAGCTCATTCTTTTCAGTGTCTACAAAATAGATCTAGTTCCAGGGGCGCCTGGGTGGCTCAGTCGGCTAAGCGTCCGACTTCAGCTCAGGTCACGATCTCGCGGTCCGTGAATTCGAGCCCCGCGTCGGGCTCTGGGCTGATGGCTCAGAGCCTGGAGCCTGCTTCCGATTCTGTGTCTCCCTCTCTCTGACCCTCCCCCGTTCATGCTCTGTCTCTCCCTGTCTCAAAAATAAATAAACGTTAAGAAAAAAAAAAAATTCAAAATAGATCTAGTTCTTGACCACTATGAACAGTGTTGTAGTAAACATCCTTACACGTATGTCTTCAGGAACTGGTACTTTTTCCCTTTGGAATAGAGTCCCAAGAGGAGAATTGCCAGATCAAAGGGATATGCACTTTGGGGACATTTTAAGTTAGAAAGTATAATCTCCCTGCTTAGGGAAGGAATTTCTGCCTCCCACAACTTTAACCTTTGGAACACTGTCAGTGGAAAAGTCTTGTTTGTTGGTGCTGGTAATTTATCAAACTTGGATAGCCCTTACTCTGTTCCAAGAACTATTCCAACACTTTGCAAATATTAACTTATTTAATCCTCACATTTTATTTTGTGAATCTACTTTATTAGTTGGATACTATTATTATCCTCATATTTAGGATATAGGATGAGGAAGCTGAGGGACAGAGTTAAGGAGCTGACTCAAGATCCCACAGCCAGTAAGCGGAGCCAGAGCCTGAGTCCAGGCATGCTAGCGCCAGAACCCCTGTTCTTAAGTGCTCTGCTTTGCTCCCTGTGAGCAGAATGCCAGTTATTTCAAGTGCGTAGACTCCGGCATATAAGCTTTCTTCCACAGTAGAAATCCCTTGACCATCCCTCAGATAATATTTGCTTTTAATTTAGTTCTAGCCATCTTGGTTACCTGCTCTTCAAATTTAGTGCAGCTTAGAGACCTTGAACTAGAAGGAGGGGGTTTTATGCACTGGACCCTCTGACAGATTCAAAACAGAGAAAAGCAGCAGGAAGTCCCTCCCTCCCCAAAAGTCAGAGGAACTAAGACCATAGCAGTTGCAGTCCATTTAATATGAAAAAGTCACTTTCATTCCTTACTGTCCCTAGAAGGCATCATTGCCTCAAAGTAAAGCATGTAATTGTGTTTTTAATGATATGCCAAGTCATCAAGAATTATGTAACATTCTGTCAACTCAATAAAACTAACAGTGGTATATTTCTAGAAGGATTTTTTAAGAAGCCCTAGTAGCCTAATGGATAAGGCATTGGCCTCCTAGAAACAGTTTTTAAAATCTTTAGTGAACAAGGTCCTCTTAGTTGAAAATGTAACAGACCTCACTGTTGTAAAACAAATGAGGTATTACTGTTTTTACCTAAATAGGACACAAATCCAGCTCCTTTAGTCCTGACCGCAGTGATCTAAAAACTGATAAAAGCCCCAGGGGACAGAAGGAATCTTCAAATACGACATGTTTTCTTTGGAATGTAGATTTCTTACATTCCACAGAAAATGTTTTATCTAAATTCTCTTATTTTAGAAATAGAAAATGACTTTATAACTCTTTAAATACAGTTGTGGGAAAGGTTTGGACAGATGTCCTATGTGCATACAGTGGTACAGCCACTTTGTCCCCCGTCCTCAGCCGGGTTGGCTTATTCACATCCCATGCACAGCCTTGTGTTCTCATGCCTCTGTGCTTTGGCCCCTACTGTTCCCTCTGCTTGGGAACCTACCACTACTTCTGCCTCTAATCTGTACGTACATTCAAGATCCAAACAGTCGTTCCCTATCCCAGCCCCAAATGACATCTGTCTAGAGATTCACTTAAAACCTGTCATGTGTTTGCCTGGCAACGGTCAAGACTTTTCTATTTCCGGAGCTCACTCTCTTTCATGTGGTTATAGAGGTAGCCTAGCAGAGTCGGTTACCAACAGAGACTTTAGAATCAGGCTGCCCTGGGCTTAAATCTCAGCCCTACCACTTACTGTCTGTGTGATCGAAGGCCAATCACTTTTCTTCTCTGTGTTCATCTGTAAAAAGGGATGGTATTTACTACCTCATGGGCATTTGTGAGGGTTAAATGAATTAATATATGTAAAACATTTAGGACAGTTCTTGGCATGTAGTGAGTACTACGTAAGCGTAAGCTGTGATTATCATGGTTTTTATTATGTCCTCAAGTGGTTTCTGAGCTCTTTGAAGACAAGACCCTACTCTGTTCCTCAGAAGGTGTGGCCTAGCTTCATAGATACTCAATGAATTCTTAGCGATTTAATTTAAATTAGAATATATATGAGCAATTAACTAGAAAAATCCCTGGAAAGGATATGTGCAAAGGTATTAACAGTGGTGGGTAGTTAGGATTGTAAGAAGTCCTTATGTGCTTTTTGCTTATCTTTGTTTTCTGATTCTTCTATAAGCAGTCTGTATTACTTTTATAACTAGAAATTATTACAGAATAATTTTTCTTCAGATGGATAAGAAAAATGAACCTGGAAATTCACATTCAGAGGCAGGATGTTACTGGAGAATTTTCCATTGCGTTTTGTAGACAAAATTACATTTCTGAATACTATTCATTCTGCGATTTTACCCTCCATTCTTGTTGTCTCCAAAATGGATTCTTTTAAAAATCTTGTTCTAATGGTTGTCATTTACGTTTTTAGAAATGCCTATCAAAGTGTATTTTTACTTGGTGACTATAATGATCGCAACTGCTTTACATGAATAATTCTTTGGGTTTGTTTGTAGCTTATGGTGCTGCTGTCTGGAGTAATAGCTTTCATGGTGAACTTATCAATTTATTGGATCATTGGGAACACTTCACCAGTCACGTATCCTTTTCCTAGTAACTTACAAATGCATCATCTTCTGTTTTCTAAAACTCTGTCGCATTCGTTTCCTTCCAGGAGTCTTGCACTAACTATCGCGTGGCCTACTTTGAGTAGATAGACTTATCTTTAGTCTTTTACCGTATCTTTCCACTCTGGACTCTATGGAAACTTAAAGAAATGTGAGCTGGGGAAATGTGTTAGTTTTCTGTATCATGAATGCTTTTGAATTTTCTTAAGTAGTAAGTGACCTTTTCCCTTATCAAAATTAACGTGGAGCACCAATCCTTGCACATAGTGGAGTTAAATAAATATTTGTTGAGTGAATAATGGACTGGACACCAGGTTTTAAAATCACTTTTCAGTCTCTTTGGTAATAAAGTAGGGGTACAGCTAATCCAAAAACAAAAGATAATTTCAGACCATTGACATCTGACTTTGGAACCTGTTTTTGTACTTACTTGGATATTGGTGTGCCTGTTTTTCTCAGTATTACTTTCAATCAAGAAATGAATCAGGCCTTGAAGAAGTGAATCTGAATGACTAGCATTTTGCTTGTAGTTCTGTTTCTCTTCTCATTTATCTCTGCCTCCACTCTTTTTTTAAAACTTTTTTTTAATGTGTGGTTTTTTGGGTTTTTTTTAGAGAGAGAGAGACAGAGCAAGCAGGGGAGGGACAGAGACAGAGGGAGACACTGAATCAGAAGCAGGCTTCAGGCTTTGAGCTATCAGCACAGAGCCCGACGTGGGGCTCGAACCCACAGACCATGAGATCATGACCTGAGCTGAAGTCGGCCGCTCAACCAACTGAGCCACCCTGGCGCCCCCCTCTGCCTCCACTCTTAAGCAGATGCAAAGAAAGATTTCCCCAGGGGCACCTGGGTCACTCAG